AGCAGTGCGAGTGGCATGTCAGGAATGTCGGGGACGCGGTCATCGCAGTATTCAGCCGCCAACTCTCGCATATCTGCGTAGGTTTCACTCGGCTTTCCAGGAGTTTTATTAGATCGTTCCTAATGAAAAGAACATTTATACTTTCTTGACCTTATTCGCTGTTATTTCTAATCGAGGATGGCGTGTAAGTGCACAGCATTCCCCGGGGCGCTGAATATCGCATGCTAGGCGTTCGAGGCGCGTGCGTAGGAGACTTGATGGATCGTTGAAGTGCAATACCAGGGTTCGTAGCGGGTCTTCCAAAGTCTTATAAGTACTTATTTTGCCAAAAATAAGGGCCCTTATTAGTACTTATTTTTGGTGAAAGGACCATTTTTCAACATTGTTTTATAAACTGTTCTCGACTTAGAGCAAGAATTGTTGTATATAATACGGAATAATTAAATCTGCTGTGCAATTGTGTATATAAATAGTATTAGTGTACTTTAATAGTCGATGATCTATCAGAAATCGCGTAAAAAAGTTTTATTTTGGCCTCCAGAAAGGGTCTTATAAGTCCTTATTTCAACATGTGTCTTACTACTATGAACCCTGAATAGACAGATGACAGCAATGCTCTCATTCAGAGTACTGCTATTTAATTTTCCATACACCTATACTCATCGTCTGTGTGTGTGTGCGCGCTTCGAATAGGAGATCGTCGAAGAATCGGCGTAAGGCTGAGCGAAAGAAATACAGCCTCAGGGAGGGCAGCACGTTTGAGGATCTGGCACTTATGGACGCTCTTGCTGAAATTACTCTCTCACTGGATAAGATGAAGGGTAAAAATGTGCTTATGTTCTTACTCTTTGTACAATCTGTCTGTTTCCCTGCAGCCCTGTAGAGTATTATCGTGCGCTGACTGAGTACCAAGCATTATGATAATTATTCAGCCACATCTCATTTGCATTCATTAAGTATTTTATGCATTGCTAAAAATGATAATTTCTCAAGTAAATCAAAAAATGAATATATTTCGACTCGCCTGCCAGCGTACATATATAACTGATTACTTCCGCATGAAAAATTATTATGAGATTCTGCTGTTATAGACTATAAAACAGTAAATGAATAGCAAACGTGCACCTGCGTTCTTCAGAATCGCGATAATGGAATTTCCAAACACTCCCACAAAACAAATGCACTTAGTTACATGACGCAATTATTTATAGACTGGTACCTATCTCGAAATACATGCAAAGATAGTACTCAACCTAGTGTATAGACAGGGTTCCAGTCTCGCGAGAGCATATTATTCACGCTATATTTTTGTTAACATATGTAACCGTATATATGTAACAAGATACGTAAATCAATCTAATTTGAGATGCACATCGGTGATCATATTAGTGGAAAGAATGATGTGTGAGTGTTCTATGACATGTTAGCCTTACTATGTACATTTCGTGTTATGCAAAAAGTACCGGCAAGTATCAGAATGGTCAAGAAAATATGAAAACGGTTGGTAAAAAGAAGTGAAATCCATGCATTGTCGCATATATTTTTAGACGTAATACAATTACTGCATGAATTTTTCCGGTACCTTAAGACGACGTAGCACCATTGCTGAGAGCACTAGTACAGCTTGGCCACGACAGTGAGGCATCCTGTCTGCAGTCATCCTTCGATAGCCTCCTCAAGCACACGGAGAAATGCCAGTTCGAGATTTGGCCACTGGAGGGCTGTGCGGCTGCAGGGGCAGGATCTGATCAGGCTCTGGTGCGTATTGTGTCTGTTTTGGTTTAAGTCATGTCACGGTGAAAATTATACGTTACGTGTTGTCAGGTGTCATGTATCGTCACGTGTTACGTGTTGTCAGGTGTCATGTATTGTCACGTGTTACGTGTTGCAAGTGTCCTGTATGCGTCAGGTTTATGGTATGTTCCAGTGTATGTATTAAGATACTACTTCTAAACATTCATGTTGTAACGCGTAGGCTCTCGTAACCTCACAATGCTCCAGAGCGGGTTTGTGCTTTAGTCGTTTATTCTTCGCTCTTTAGATTAGCTGTAATTCAACAAAGGAGTTCCATATTCAGTACGGCATATACATGAGACTTTTAGTACGAGTACTTTTATGCGTATTCACTTAAACTACTCAAGCTCAGCTAAAACCAACATAATGTAAAGATAATAACAAAGTTCGTGTAAATTTTTTTTAACATAAAGAAGACGTCAAGATCGTATAGACATGAATAAGCTATGACACCATGTTATGGCTACGCTAACTTCAACATGGCTACAGAGTACACTACTAAACATATTATGCCTTACTGGTGGCATGGACTGCTGTCTTCGGCCACGGTAATGCTATCCCAGCGAGCGGGTGGAGGGAGGTGACAGCAATGTGGCAGACTAAGGTTGGGATAGTGTTAGATTAAGCGTAGGGTCAGTGGTTAGTTAGGGTTAGTTAAGGTTAGGATTAGGGGTTAGGGTTAGGCGTTTTTGGCATCATGATATCTGTCCCACACACCAGATTAATTTGTGATCACAATGCATTATATGCGCGGCGTACACCATAATAGATTTTAGTGTGAGTGTTAGTGTTGGCGGTGTTGGAGTGAGGGTTACCGTTAGGGTTAACGTTATCACGTGACCTCCCTCCACGCCCGTGGGATAGCCACCAGCCTCACACGTCAGCCAGCCACCTGGCCTACCTGTATGAAGTACTACCAGTCATGTGATTACATCCGTGAGTCGCCCTCTATAGTCAGATTTAGCTTTAACTGAAATTTGGCCCTTACATATACAAATGCAGGCATGCAAGCACTCACGTACACACGCCCACACACACACTCTCATCGTATGTACGCGTGCACGCACACAGCCACCACATGCATGCACAAATGTGCAACATTGCATTCACAGTCAAGCCTCAGCTAGCGACTAACTCGATAGAACCGCGACCTTAAAATCTCCCGCTAACAAAAATCCTGTCTTACACACTGTGCAGAGTAGCCATTCGATCAAGACGGCTTGCAGGCAGGTTGGAGCTTTAGTTCGAGCTGCTTGCTCTTTCCCTAAGGTACCGGTTTTTGCCACGGACTATCAACATTCAGTGTAGACTACCCCGTCAGGGAATTAACGTACGAACCGCGTAAGAGTGATAGTTAGACAGTGTGCAGCCGGGCAGAAAGGAAGTTCAGTGACTTATTGGCAACGATGACATTATTGTCAGTGATGAGGTTTACTTTACTAGTCCGCGTACACACGCACGCACGCACGCACGCACGCACGCACGCACACACACACACACAATGAGCTAAACCACGCTTGGGCCCACTTCGGGATTCTGTCTTCCAAACAATCGCTTATCAAGCGGATTTTCTTAAACTTGTCATACTGGCATAGTTTGCGTTTGTGTTACTATAGTTCGTAGACTTCGCCAGTGTAAGCCCTGTATATTGTGAATAGACAACGAACAGGTGGGGATGCGATTTATTGCATTAGTCCACCTATACGATACATCCACTGCATTTTTATCGTTTCGTTGCTAGTGGGTACTAGAGCTTTTTTCTAAGTTGACTGAAAAGTTAACTACTACTTGTTTCCCCTGGCTTATGCCGAGATGCGACTTGGGCGAACTTATGAGTATTTATACGGCGTCGAGCAAAGAGTAGTTTATGCCAAATATTGCTGAGAGGGTCAATGTTCCCTGGGTACGGTCCGGTATACCGGAACGTACCCTGGTACTATCTAATATGCCGGACCGTACCTCGCCTACTCCACTAACGAATCTAGGGAGTCGCCTACGCCTACTCCCTAACCCTAACCCTAACCCTAACCCCAACCCTAACCCCAACCCTAACCCTAACCCAGGGGCGGCGCCAGGGTATTTTCTTAAGGGGGGGCGAATCGAGGGGCGTATACAGGAGCACGCGAAGGGGGGGTCTGGGGGTCTCTCCCAGGAAATTTTTGAAAATTAGACCCCCTGAGATGCGTTTTCTGCGCGAGCAGGAGGGGGGGGGGTCCGGGACGCCCCTGGACCTCCCACGTACACGCTGGAACTGTAGACTGATTACCGTGTGCGCTTGCAGCTGACGGGTGGAGTCAGGGTGTAGCATTCATGATTCTATCAGCTGCTACGTGCAAAATATTATACGTAAGATCTGAGTAGGCAATTCGACGTTGTTATTGGCGATTCATCAACACAGGCTATATTAGTAAATTTTCGCTATGATTTCGCGTAATCGCAAGCGAGGCCGTTTTAGGTGGCGATTCACGTCAAGTATAATTTACGTAAACGTTTTGCGTAACTTTACAGACGAGCTGACGAGGTGCGTAAACCACATCGAATTATCCGCAGTGTTTCCCAGATAACGCAGATGCATTATTTGTATATGAGAAAACATTATAAAGTTACTACTCAACAACAAATAAATAATAATTACCGATACTACTACAGACAGGCGGCGCCTTTGACGAGCTTTTTTGTCATAGCTTTGCCAATTGTTTTCAGTTTATAACGGTTCGTCAGTTGCCGTGTACTGCACACGCCGTGCGCACTTTTACCGTGGCACACAAGCAGCACCGTGTACGACGGCACGCACGCAGCCGCGTGTGTCACGTGATGCAAGCACGCACGTGTAACTGCCAAACAGCAGCCAACGTTCCGTACAGCACGTGAACGCACGACTGTCCCACGCACGCCACGCGGTACCGGCTACGTGTCGCTGCTTCTCATCGAGTGTTTGAACACAATCCATCAACGCAAATGAGGACAACTTATCACATCCTCCAGCGAGTCCTGTATAACAGCTAAGCATATGGTGTTACATAACAAGAGAGGCGTCAGTTTGGTTGCCTATGGTAATGTGTCGCACAGAGTGATTGGTTTTAATGCTAGGCACGCTCCTCAATCAGCCAGCAGCCTACGATGGCGTAGTGATTTACATGGAATTCATCAACATTTGCGACGGCAGGTGTAGCGCTGCGTTGATGACCTCGCACGCTACGAGCTTGCGTACGCTACTTCGTAGAAACTCTGTGTACGTCAATACACTTTGGCGCAACACGTGATGGAATCCGGCCCCAGGGGCCTCGCCCTTAGTGCCCTGGTGGGGTCCAGGGGAAAGAAAAAACGCGCTGGAGGGTGGCCGGGGAAGCTCTCAAGTTTAGCATAATCAAAAGCCCTCAAATTGCGGTGACAAAAAATTGTGCAGGGAACCAAGGAGGCAACATGATACAAGGAGAGAAACACCCCGGGGAGGACTCCACCACATTATGGTAGGTATCTGTATGTGCCACTGCGAAGTTAAAAATGGGGGGGGCTCTGGCACTAATCGACCTGAAAATGGTGGTTCTGGAACTAATGTTTGTTGAAATCTTGTAATGCTCTGAACCGGCTATGTTCGGAAATGGGTCTCCGGACTAGCTAAGGATTTCGTTGAATCAATGCTATGAAACTGGAACACGTTAAAAGAGGGGGTCTCCGGAACTGTGAGGAATACATGATTCGCTTTAAAATCTATGGCTGTAAGCACTTGAAGCAATAATTCTCTGCATTATGTAGAGCGAGAAATACTGACCCGAGAGAAATGACGCACTCGACACCGCACGACGCACCAGCCACACCGCACGCATACACACACTAACTAAAACTAGGCAGAAGGGCATCTCACAGGAGAGCTACCTCCGCCAGCGACTACCTGAGCCATACGACTCATCAACGACTCACGAACACGACG